CAAAAATCAAAGCAGTCTATTTTATTTAAAAAAAAATTTGGAATATTATATTTTAATATATAATTAATTTTAATTAGAGTATGTTTTGGGGTAATGATATTGGTATGATATACAGGCCAATAAAGGAATAACAACAGAGAGGAGGGAGGAGGTATGTCAGTCTGGCATTTGTTTGCTTCTGAATTTATGTTCAGTGAGGTGTAATTCAAGGGTCATATCCTTCCAACTACTAAGATCTGATATAAAGTCAAAACTCCATGTGCCTTTGTGAGATAAATGTAAATCCACATTCATAACCTGGGTTTACAAGGAATAGATCACACTTATCTATTAAGTGGAGTACAGAGAACCTGGTTATCTCTCAGTTCTTCCCTGTCAACCCTGCAATTCAACTGTATTGACCCAGTGGAGACCATCTGAGACAAAGCTGCCAGCAGGTGCAGCTTTATGTGTCACCTGTGGTAAGGGTGGGACAGTAATTAAGTGTGTTGTACTACATCTGAACAACTCTTTCCATCTGCCCCTTCAACACTTCTTGCTCTTAAACTGAACACTGATTTTCAGACTCTCTATGATTACTATCACCCAACCCCCTCATCTTTCACTCTGTCTTGTAAACCACATATTTTCAGAGTCCAGAAGGGTTAGACAGACCATTTACAAATTCCACGACAATATAATTTCTAAGCAACAGTGGGCTTTCTGATACTTTGATCACTGGATGATTCAATTTCTCAAAAGAGAAATTCCATGAAAAACTATTTCATTCCATAGCTTGTCACATAGTTATAGAATTTTAAGTAGCCTCCTGGATTCATAGTGTCTTTAAAAATAGACATAAGCATTAGTAAATGTTACCCATTATATAACATCGAAATTTTAAATTCTAGTACCCAAATTTACAGGTAGATAAACTGTTACAAAGAAAACTGATTTGCTCATAGTTAGTCAGGAGTAAAAGTTATCCCTTAGCTCCTAATTTAGTGGTTTAGATGCTAAATTATACAGCATTTTCAGCCCCCAGGGAATACAATCCTGGAAACTTGTAAGAGCAAAATGAACTCAAAATTATATTCTCACCAATGAAATTAACTGAACAACTTATCAAGTGTGAAAATATTGGAATATTCTGCACAATTGACCAAGGACTTCAAATAAATCCATTATAAAAAATATCCCTTCAGGCAAAATAAATAAGATTGAAATTCAGCATAACAATCATACAAAAGTTTAAAAGTAGATTAAAGTGAGGGCTACAATTCCAGATGTAACACAAGCATAAATTCTTTGTGGAAACTTCTGATAATTGTGTTGCAACTGGAATTGTAGTCCTGTCTCAAAGGCAGGGCTAGTGTCCTTTGGAGAAAGCACTTTGATAGGAAAAGGGGCACAATGTCTCCTCATTCCACAAAATGTGTTCCCCATTAGAATTATCTTTCACTTTTACTTTACAATAACCTGAATGTTCTGGGCAGGAAGGACAGTAGGAAGATTTAAAACTTAAAGACACAGGTGACATTTGGTGAAAAAAGTAGGCATTTTCTTACAAGTGTTTGTCTTTGACTCAAAGTGAAGGCTGTAATTGTGTGTTACAATCTGCTGAGAGCTATTAAATTTGGTTTCATGAGATCATCTTCACAGATTCTGGGAATCTGGGTGTTCCAACCGATTCTATAGATACAATGACAGTAACTGCAAAACTAACTACAGATTATCATGTGAGTCTGAAAATTTAAAAAGAATATTTCAAAAGGAAAATATAAAAGACTTTTTATTGTTCCTTTTTCATTTTCTCTAGGGAATTAGGTATTTTACACACACACACACACACACACACACACACACACAAACACATCTTACAGTAATGGTATTTTATATATAATAATGAATAGAACTTAATTGAGGCAAGCCAAGTAAACAGCTGTGCTAGTAACTGAATAAAAGTACTTCAAAGTCATAAAAGAATCTCTACAATAACTAAAAATGTTTTTTGGTCACAGAGAGCTGAGGAAGCTCTGGATAAAGAATTAACAACTATTCCTCTGTAAAGCAAATGCATTCTAATTGCATGGACAACTCACAAGCAGATTCTTAGTTTGCCTGAGACTTACTGGTATGAAACCAGAAACGGAGAACATAAATTATTTGCTAGAGATCACCCAATATAGGGTTTAAAAAAAAAAAAAAAAACCCACCTTTCATTCTAGTTCACTTTTTTCTACTATTCATCCCCCAAATAAAAGTTGAATCTCATTGTAGAACAGGCAGGAACTGCCGTTGCTGCAAAGCTACCAAACTATGTCACCACTCAGACTTGTTTTAATAGCAAAATGTCTTGTTGCAGATTTCATCCAACATTGAACTGGGCATTTCTGAAATCAAAGGAAACAATTTAAAAAAAATTAGCAACATCCCAGATTAGTGCCAAAAGGTGAATAAACTGAAGTTTTCTCTCACATGCGGAATCTAGACTTAATAAATCCTAATAAATGACATGGGTGTGAAATGGGGACTGTCTGTGGGTGGGAACCACCAGGAGGCAGGGAGCATAAAAAGGAGAGCATAAAGGAGGGGTGATAAGTACTTTATACACAGGTATGAAACTAAATAATGAAACTTGTTAAAAAGAGGGGAAGAGGAGATAAGGAAGACTAACAGAGGTGGTGAATTTGATCAAAGTATACTATATGCATGTATGGAAATATCACAATGACACCTCTTTGTATCATTAACATATGCTAACAAAAGAGCAATGTATAGCCCAAATGCTTGTAGGCCAATTGGGTAAAGCTAAATGTTTAAGAGTGGGGTAGATTAAACAATACAAAGAAAGCAGCTTTTTAGGTTAAGACTTGATTCTGAGTTAAACCTTATCAAGGTTTCTATTTGCACAACAACTTGACGATTATTTCTATTCTGCATTCACAATAAATGACAAGGATAAAATAACTGGTTGGTTGATTACACTGAAAGTGCCAAATGTTGGGGAGTTACAAAACTGCTTACCTTAATTAAGATGTGACCCAGTTGATAGACATTAAATTGAGGTAAAGTCTCAGTGTCAGCAAAGAGAAAGTTAGAGCAATTTTCTCCTGGTAAAATCCCTTAATAAGTACTGTCATTGTTCTGCTGACTAGAACTTAATTTCTTGAGACAGAATTTTATGGTTAGAGGGGACCTTAGAAACATCTAGTGTAACTCATTTTACAGATGGGAAACTTGAAGCTTACAAAAAGTTGAAGTTAGGCAAAAACTTCTAAAGACTCCTTAGTTAAAAAAAAAAACAACACAAAACCAAACCAGGAAATGACTCCTCTTAGTACCTAATACAGACATGCTTTTAATAGAAATTTGACCAGGAAGGTTTTAAATGTCATTTCCTTTTTTAAAAGTATGCAGGAGGGTGTGTGTGGGGGAGTTGATGTTTTGCGGCAACAGTTATTTTCTTCTCTGATAAAAATACTTATTTATTGTAGAAAATGTAAAAAAAATTGAAGAATGCCATCAAAAATAGTGTATTTTCTTTAGGCTTTTTCTATGCAAATACAAAAATAACTACTGCTTACTTTTTAAGTAGAACTTTTTTTTGTACTTATTCACTAGAAAACAATCAGAGGAACAGCAGCAGTACAGGTTTCCCTACCTATAGGCAGTGCTGCAACAATTCTTAAGAGCTAGTGTGAAAGCACAGCAAAGGGACAGAACCTAACCGCCAGGAAACAAACTGGCAGAGCGTGGGAAAACAAGGTCTTTCCTTGACTTTTATTTTTACTCTCTAACAGCTCACCACAAGAGCCCCAATATGGGGTGAAGGTGGGGTGGATTGGAAGAAAGAGGAAAAAGTAAAGGGAAAGAGCAAAGTGACACTTGGCTGGAGTTTCTTGGAACTGAAAACCAGACTCCTCTCCACAGACAAGGTCCCTGATTTCCTTTTGAACACTAGTTGGGGGTTCAGATCTCACTTCTTGGGAGATATAATACCATCTCTCACTACCAGAAACTTTAATTTGTTTAAACAGCAGTGGATGGATTCTCTAAGATTCTTTATAAATGCTCAACCTAGTTGTGGGACTCCTTGAGAACTAGATTCCATGGTATTTTATATGTATAAACCTTAACAAATACAACGGCACAAAAATCACCTCTCCTTATTAGGAATATCTAGCTACTTCAATACATTCTATAGGACCAGCCTCAGAATCTGAAGTGAACTGTTGGACTAAAGCAACCCACTCAAACTAAGCTATGATAAAACCAATATGACCTCTAACTATGGGCTAGAGGCCTCTTAGGTACCTCTGATAAATTTCTCAAATTTTTAAACAATTTTGTTTTCAGGAAATCAGTTTGGCTCCATTTAATTAACTTAAACCAGAGGGTACATGAAAGGCTCATATAAGTTTCTGTCATCACCAAAGTGATGCTGTAATGGTTGACTACTTGAATCACTTTGAATTTTTATGTTGGTGATTTTTTGTGCACAAATTGAAGATATCTGCAGGACTGGAACTCACCCTATACTGAACAGACACAAGGGTTTCACAGGGTAACACTCAGCAGTTGGAATCCATACCACAATCGACATAAACTCTGGAGAAGCTGCCACTTTGCAGCCTCAAGGAAATAAGTAAGCAAGATAGAGAAACACTTAAACACATTACTGTTCAACAGACAACATATTTACTTACACTAAATAAGGCTGTGCTCAGGATTTAAACTAGTCCCTGAATATCCTTAGTTAGCATGGGGGGTGGGAAGTTATGTGGTGAATGAGAACTTAAGCTTTCCAAGGATTATGGTTCAAATCCTCTGAAACCTATAGGAGGGCAAATAAAATGAGAACTCAAAACTCTAGAGCAACAACTCTTGTTGGCACTAGTATAAGGTAGTAGCGATTCTCACATTCAATATGTTACATAAAATACTATAAAAATAAGCTGAAGTTTTTAAGGAAAGCCCATTATTATTAAAGGTGTGAGCTTTACCACTCCAACTTCGGGTTTCTTGACAATAAAACACATACAAAACAAAAGCCCATGAAAGTACAACAAAGAGGTATACTAACTGACAAAATAGCTGCTGCAAATACCCCTCAGATGTAACATTTTGAATAGGCATGCAATCTGAAGATTCTCAAGAAGAAACTGCTTTGGGTATTTGACTAGGAAGAAGTGGTAACAACATTCACTGTGTATATCTTTCCCACTGCATTTTTGCTTGCATATTATCAAGAATAGGCAAAGAAAGGCACTGTTTTTTCCATATAATCTGTTGTTCTGTGAAATGAATGAGGGGACACTATACCCCTGCATCAGTACTTCGTGGCTGGAAGCCCTCTTTCCGAAGGCCACCCATGTCAAAGCGGGTGGAGACTTCACAACGCACTAATAACGTATCATCCTTAATGAAGGTTCTTTGTCTTAAGGCTTCCAGGTGCATAAATGTTATATAACCAAAACCTTTGGGGTTCCGTGGGATTGTGGGCCGTTGGAAGGCAAGCAGCTCTGGTTTGGCATCCATTACCTCTTCATGGTTTTGCCTTGTTGGTGCTTCAGACTGATCAAGAATTGTAAGGCGTATTGTACCCTGGAAGGGCCAAGGGAGATGGCTGTCATATTCTCCTTGCATTGTGTGGACAAAGAGGGATATATAGTTTGCACAGCGCTGAGCAGTTGGTAACTGAAGGTGCAAGCGCATGCATAGTTTGTACCCAGGTTTGCCTGTGTAGAATCCAGGGCTATGAATGACAACAGGTTTTTCCTCTTCTTGAGATTTCAAGTGCATCCCAAAGTTGCCAATCTTCCAAATGTAAATCCCATTGCACTGTTGTGCTTCGATTTCAGCAACTTTGTCCTCAAGGGTTCGAATAGTTCGTTTGAGCTCACTTACATACATACTCTGAGTTTCCATTTTAGCAGTCAGCTCTCGGATTTGATGGTCCTGTCTTACAAGGCGACGCTCTAACTGTTGAATGGTTTCTCGGAAATTCTCATCCTCTGGGTTACAGCCAGAGGAACGCCGGGGTTCATATGGCGTTATATCACGTGGAGGAATGGGTGGTAAAGCAAGGCTTAAGCTATGAACAGCCTGGGCCAACATTCTCATGTGAGACTGCGTATTTTCTTGTAGGTGGCGTGCCAGGTGATTCCTCTGCATCTAAAAACCAAGCACAAGCCTTAGATTGGGCACAGATGCTATGAGGACTAGGAAAAAGACCTGGCCAGGCCAAATAAGAGGCTTTAAAATAGTATCACCACTTCCCTCAGATTCTACGACTTCCTTTCGCCTTCACTGGATCCAATAAAACAATCCTGCCTCTTAAGTTAGTAAAAAACTGAGACACCTGATGAACTATCAGCTTTTACTCAGACAAATCTCCCTCTGCCACACACGTATCCTCTGCTTATTCAGAGGTGATTCTCCTCATACTCAATATGATAAGATACCCAATCCTTTCAACAGCTCAGAGGTTTTACTCAGTTATCCTCATTTCCCTTATCTTCATTTTTCCCCCTTTCCCTCAGAATATTATTTAAATCATTCCTATTAGAAAAAAAGCAAATCTTCTGTTGATCTTATGCCTCCCTCTAGTTAATATATTTTCTCCCTTTTTCTTTAAAATCATGGATAATCCACCTGGAATGTCCAGAATTCCTCATTTACAATACAAATGTCTCTATACTATTCTAAGGCCATCAAGAACATCCTAATTATTATATGAAAACTATTATATAACAATTTTCATTATAAAAGAAACTCATGTACATTATAGAAAAATAAGAAACAGAGATAATTAAGAGAGAAACAAATTACCTACTATCTCACCTAACTTCATTAATATTATGATGTATTCCCTTCAAGTCTTTTTCTCTATGCATATAAATACAGAATTTTTCTACAAAATGTAATCATACCACATGCCATTTTATCTTTTTAAATTATTACGTTTGTTGTAATAAGTTTTAAAAAAGTGTAACAGAAAAGCGAAAGTATAATTGCGCTCTCCAGAAAGAATGACTTATTATAAATAAATTTTAAACACTTGACACCACTGGTCACTAATCTTAAAACTAATTTGGGAGACCATAACAATACTTTCTCCTTGCCTGGTTCACCTGTTTTTAGTACTGTTGTCATGGCTCCTTTCCTTGGTCTACTTCTCTCTCCTGCAATACTCATTCTACACAATCACGATCACACCTTCCACCGTCACCACAACTTAAGTCAATATTCTAAGTCTTAGTTTCTCTTTGGAGTTTAAGACCACATATACAGTGCATGACAGTCATCTCCACTTGGATATTTCATAGCTGGGTGAACTCTTATCTGAAACTTCATACTATTAAAACAGAACTAATTTCTTATCCTCCATCTCCGCTGTTTTGTGCTCACTCTTTTTATTGATTTATTTATTTTTTGCTGAATGGTCCCTTCCCAGCCCTCCAGTGACCAAAAGCCATTCTAGATGCCATTCTCTCCTCTGCCCACTATATTTACTTAGTTATACAGTCAATACCTCTTCCCTCCTAATCCTGGGCTCCTAGATCCATCTCCACTTTCATTACCATCATTCATGTTGTTCCCATTTTGGCCTTGTTATCCAAGCTCAAGTACTGCCATTCCCTCCAAAACCTCCAATCTTTGACATTGCTACTGAGTTGAATAACATAAAACAAACTACCTGTAGTTCTCCAGATCAGCATGCTCACTCAGTCTCACTAGCCATCTTTTTCTTTTCTTTTTTGGTGGTTTCTGGGGTTTGAACTCAGAGCTTCACACTTGCAAGGTAGGCACTCTACCACTTGAGCCACTCCATCAGCCCCTCCCTTGTCTTCTTGGACAACTTTTTTTATCTGTCAAGATTCAGCCCAATCACATTTTGTCATGTCTGCTTAAATGCTTTAGCCATGGCTAAGTGTACCTTGTATCTGCTTTCAGCATCAACTTTATCATATAATTTATAGAAACATTGTACATAAATGTTTTTGGCATTCTCCACTAGACTATATAAACTGAGTAGTTTTTATTTATATTAAAAAAAGAAAACTTACCTTATCATGGCACCCAAAAGTACTGAATGTGCATGGGATTGGGGCTGTTGGGCAGTCTAGATCATAATGATTCGGCATCTTAAAATCAAAACAAAGGTTGAAAAATGTTTTTCCCTGTACATCATGATCTCATTTGATTTATACTTCGAAATTTACATTTCACCTTAACAAAACTATATATACTGGCTTCTTTTGGGCAACACTAGCAAAGTTAAGTGAGCTGCTATAGAAGTCTGTAGCCTATAGAGATTAAAATAGTATTAACCTCTAAAATGCAGAGAGAAATGAATTATTAACAATCTCACATGATCCACTCCCAAGTTTGCTAAAATTGATTTCATAAAATGAATCTGTTCCTATTGCTGGGAAATGGTACCCTCTAGTGGCAATTTGAAGGAAAAAAATCCACTGAAAAAACAAATGCAAAAAAAAAAAACCAACCAAACAAACAAAAAAAAAATGCAAACTCAACCAGGGCTCTCCTAGTGATCTAGGCCATTTACTAGGGACCAGTCAACTACATGCATTAAAGTCACTGACTTTAATTACTTCCCTCATGACAAACTTTCAGAATTCAACTTCTCTTCTGCTAACTTGGGCAAATTTTGGCTATACCGGGGGACTAAGGTGTTGGAAGGTAGTTTAAGCGCTTTCTAAACGAGGTTTCAGTCTTTGATTTGGGGACTCAAACACATTCTTTATGGTGAGATCCATTACATAGTATCATCACACTTAGAAAGGCCTGGGGATACAGGTCAATGGTAGAGCACTTGCCTAGCATGCGAGAGGCCCTGGGTTAGATCCCTAGCATAGGAAGGGGGAAAAAAAAAAGCCACAAAAATACAACAACAACAAAATATCAAGTGAAAGTAGTGCCAAATTTTCTTTAGAAGTTTAGGTTGGCTATAGCTATGAATCAGATGGTAAGTTAATGGCACAGTCAGGAACTGATACCTTGTCTAGGTTTTCTTCCCCTATTACATTTTATTTATTGCTGGGTTTTAAATGTGCTGCATGGTTTCCTTTAGATATTAAAAGAGAACAAAAGGGAAAACCAGGGAGGTGGCACCTTCAGAGGCAAAAAGAAGCTTAACGCCTTCAAGTCGGAAAGAAACTAAAAGACTGTGTTAACAGACAAATGGAAAGAGTTAGTCAAGTGACAGGTTTTGCTGTTTCTACTTCATAATAATCAATAATGATCTCTGGGTTTACAGATTTCATGGGTATATACACAGATTTAATGACTAATATTCATATTTTGTGGGTAAACTCCCAAATGTCAAAAAGATAACAACCAGATGGAATTTTTCTTTCTCTGCTAATAATTAAAACATACAGTTTTCTGTCATGACTACTACCTCTGATGGTGCCCTGTCAGTGGCCTAAAGGACAACTGAACAGAGGCCACAGGTTCTGGAAATCTCAAAACCCTTCCATATGCCACAACAAATAATGTTCTGCCATGGAATAGATTTACTTTCTTCTATTTATTGCTATATCTTATCCTTAATTTCAATTGTTTTTATTTTACAATTATTTGGTTTTGATTATATATTTTGGAGGGAGCAGTATTGGGGATCAAACCCAGAACCTTAAGTATCCTAAGCAAGTGCTATAGCGCAGCTATACCCCCAGTCCCTGTCATTCATAAATGTAGGCATTATATCAATGACTTAGGAATTTTAAGTACTTAAAAAGTACTGGATGTTTTGATCTTTTGAAAATATTTATTAATTACATTAATTTATATGAAACATTTTTGCACAGTTCTAATACTTCCTCTGCTTGTACTGATTTTGCCTTGATTTAAATTTTCACTTAAAAAAGTTATCACTTACTTAAGCTAGTATGGAAATAAAGTATTAATTTAAAAAGAGAATCATTATACCTGTTCTCTGATGAGCATGGTATTGCAGTATTCGCAGGTGACATTTGCCAATGGACAGTTCTGGTCATGGATCTAAATTTCATGAGAAAAATACAAGAAAAGCTTTAAGAAAATTCAAATGTAAAACTAATTTTTATAAAAAGAGTATTTTTTCACTATGAACAAATTAATAACATAAGTTTGTTATAAAGCAAAAGTGTAAGAATACTATGTAAAAGATATTTTCCCTCCCTTTGCTATGGAATAATGAGATTCATTCAAGCTTCTGCTTCATTCAAAGAAAACAGAATCATGTAAAGCAGTTTTTAAAATTACTTCCTTTTAACTGAGGCAGACTATCTATGACTAGCTTGGACATCAGCTGCCAATGATATAATTTTCCAAAGGCAATCTTTTCCCAAAACTGCATGACATTCTAGTTACAGCTCTTTTCAGTCGGGTTGAAGAACAAATGCAATATTGGGGCATGAGGTTTTGGTGCCCAGGTTCTCATATGCCCCAGAAGGGCAAGCCTTGTTTACTAGAATACAATGACTTTAGTTTATATGATGTCCTGAGAAATAACTAACCCTCCATGTGAATCCATCTAACTTACTCAAGTTTAAGAAGACATCAATTTGCTCCAATTATGACTGAGATTTCTCTATATGTTTAGCAAGTTAGTTGACTTTTCAAAATATTTTATCAACATATAAGTATAATAAACTTGATCTCCTAGAGAAAATGATAACATAAATTTATAAAAACTAAAGTTTAAGAAGGAATCTAAGTATTAGTTATAAAAAACCATAAGTTACATGTAGATTATTTTAGTAGAGAGTACAAAGGATATAGATCAATAGCTAAGATTTCAGTGTTGGTTTTGACACTGACAATATTAATATAAAACTACTTAACCTTTCTATATCCTGGTTTCTACCATCATGATGGTGCCAGGCACCATGGACTTTCTTTTTAAAAGATAAATCTTTTAATTAAAGTATTATAAATATACTCTCTCTTTGTAATAGTTGTAACAACTCAATCTCTTTTGCAAAATAATTCTGTATATGTCTTATAGAGCCATCATTCTACTTGTTTGTCTGCAATCTGAATAGTCATTAGAATCATCCATATGAAAGTTGACCAGCAAATGCCTTTCCTAGTACTTTTTATTTGCTTATCTACAACAGTAGTAACTAGTATGAACAATGTTTTCTAAGAACAATATGCAAATATAAACTCCACACTTATTTATAATGATTCATTGAAACTTTATCTCTTAAAAATCAGTATTCTAAAAATTAATTAACATATGCTCATTTTTGTGTATACTATCTACTGCTAACCCCCTCAAATATACATTTAAAAAATAAGAAGTAGTAAAATTAAGAAATCCAAGTTAGTACATGCCTCTTTATCTTCAAATGCCATGGATACAGCACAATTTCTACAAGAAACTTGTCTCCTTGGACAATCCTGCAGAATGTGAACATTAAGCTGACATTTTTGCAAGGGACGTTGGCATTGGGGACAATTCATAAGAGCAAACTCACAATGTGCTTGATGATCCTACAATGTAGAAAAATAATTGATTAGTATTTGCCAACCTTAATATTTTCTAAAGATAATTTCTTCTAAGAATATAGTGTTCTCTTTTTCAGAATTGGCTACTTAACCTACATTGTCTAATATACACCACAAAACCATTCACAATATGAAGCCCTCTATGAATTATTTCAAATAATAGCTGTGGACACAAAAAATATGAATCCTCAAGTTCAATTAGAGAAGAGAGCTGGAAAGAAGTCAGCTTTCCAGATTAGCAATTTAGTGCTGTGTTCAAAGGACCACTCCTTCAAAAAGGGCTATCTCAAAAGGGCAAACTGCAAATCTATCTTAAACATTTCAAATAGAATATTAACCATATTTAGTTAGTTCCTAGTAAAAAAACAATCACCAAGTTAAGAACTGATTTAACTTATAAGCAAATTATTTTAATCTCTAATTCAGAAAAATAGAGAAAAAAGTAAGATGAGGGTACTGAGATGATGGCTACTTGGTACTTACTTCTTTTTTCAAAGTGAAAGAAATAAAATTACAGGGTTAAAATGTGACTCTTGCATTTATTTAAAAAGCTCTTCGTAATTTTATTGCTGATAATGATTACCCCAAAACTTGCAGAATACTTATTTTTTATTATTGCTGAGACAAAGTAGAATGAATAAAAAATTTCTGATATCTTCTTATATTTATATTTAATAACCAAAGAGTTAGTATTAGTTCAGTAAAAATTTATTAACTGATTATTATATGTGAGGTATAGTCAATGCACAGATAAACATCAAAAATTCCCTATTCTCTGTTCTTTAGAAACTGCCTCGCATACATGCTCACAGCTAGAAAGTAACCAATACCTCAAGATGTCTCAGTTCCATCTTGTGAAAACAACCTTCATTTGGACACTTTACCGTCAGAGAAAGAATCTCTCGTTTTGCAAAATTGTCAGGAAATAGTTGATTTTCCAGTAGTATTTCATTGTCAACTGGACACTTGTGACCTGCATCTCTAAAAGAAACAAGATACATGTAATTAGTAGATTTAAACATTTGCATGAGAAAAACCAGCTTTAATTTACCACATAAAAATGTAATGCATTATATTGCCTACTACCACAAAAATGATCTCTCCTTTTAAGAATAGTTTATGAATTATTCTTTTATAAAATGAGTACAAACTGGTACCACATTGATCATCTGTCAAAAGATAGGAGATTTTAGACTGTGGGAAAGATTTCAGCTAAAGAATGAGAAAAAAAATCAATTGAATAAAATCATATTTTTCTTGGCATAAATGAAACTTAAAATAGGAATTCTAGCAATTCTGGCAGCACCCATACAGTATACTAGCAAGATGGTCTGTGCTACTCACAATACTAGCAAGTCTACAGTGGACTGCTCAGTTATAAGGGAAAATTTAACCAATTAGCAGTAATCTCACAAAGGTCTCATTTCAAGGTTTATATCAAAATAGTCACTATGATACTGTATCTCTTGGGCAATGAAAGGTTTCTTTTATTTGTGTATCTAGGGCATAATGTAATAGGGATTTAAAGGACCTACATGTCCTGCTTCCCAGTGTTTTTTTGTCCATCTTCAGGAGCATTGGCTATCATTCTTTATTTTCTGGGGTGTCTTAATCTTCACTCACAAAATATGACAGGTCAGGGAGGAGCCCTAATCAATCACTTAAACACCTGCGAGTACCTTCATTGTGCTCATCAGTGCTCTCTGCTCTGTAGTAGGTAAAAAAAGATGACTAAAAAATGGATCTGCTGTCAGATGGCACAGAACTAATAAAAGAGAGACACGTTGATCTTTACAGGGCCTCTCTCAGGCTGCATATTGTTGTAATTATACCATCAAATATGCTGAGAGCATAGAAAGCCATGAACAAATTTACTGAAATACATACCCCAAACTTAAAGTGACACAGCTAGAAGAAAATAAGAAACTTACCAAGCAAACTGAACATCACTGTACAGTTTTAGCAACCATTCCAAAAAGAAAATGGATTCGTTGAATAGTCATTTTAGAGTAGCTCTTTTAAGAACATTAGAACCAATGTAAGGTGGTCATTTCTAGCTTAGAGAGAGGTAGAGAAAAGCCTCAGGTTTCCTTTTGTGGGTTTTGTTTTCTTTTTTAGATCACTGTCCCACTATTTTCATGAGTATTTTGCTATTAAAAACCTGTTAAAGATTAGTTACCTTCCTGGATATGAGTGGCACTTAATAAATATTGCACATTTCTACCTAACAAGAAAAATTGACAATTCAGAATGTGGTACCATTTTTACCTGGCTAGAGTATAAATAAAAACTATTTAAACAGAAAAAAGGTTTGAGACTTAAACCCAGCTATCCTAAACCAGAGGTCTCACCAGGGACCATCTTGCCCCTAGGACACACCGTGGATCTTACAGCTGAGGGAGAGCAGGATATTACTAGCATCCAGTGATCATAGGCCAGGCTTGCAGCTAAAGATTCTACAACACACAGGACATTCTGCCACAACGAAGAATTTTATGGCCTAAGACAACAACAGTGCCAAAGCTAAGAAGACCTATCCTACACAGATCTTGTTAAATGAATCGAGGCAACACACATACTGAGCATCTACTGTGGGTCAGGCACTATTCCTGGCACTCAAGAAATAAAGCAAATCTAAGTTTTACTCTCAAGGAGCTTACCATCCATTGGGGCAACTAGACAATAAACCTGAATTATTAAATACACTAGAAGGTAAAAGTGCTAGGGGAAAAAAAAAGTAGAGTGTGGTAAGGAAGACTAGAGTGCTAGAGGCCAAGTGGGGTTGAAGCTTGTTGTGGTAAAATATGGTAGCAAAAGAACCTATGAGAGAGTGGTATTTCAGCCACACTGGAGAGGGAGTTAAGCAGTTAGCTATGGCAAGAATGTTTGAAGCAGAGAAAAGAGCTAAAGAAACTCACTGAGATAGGTGACAGCTTGACAAGTTCAATGAATAGCAAAGAAGAAAGTAATGGAAGGAGAGCAAACACAGCAGACAAGAGGTCAGAAAATGAACCATGGGCCTCTATACAGGGCCTTTTGAGGACTCTGGTTTTACTCCTGGATACTTATGCAATGCTCTGAGCAGAGCTGACACCCTCTTACTTATTTACCAGGATCACTCTGACAGCTGTAATGAGACTGGAAGAAGGCAAGTGTAGAAGCAGAAAGGCCTGTGAGAGCTGATGGTGAGTCCAAACATGTCAGTAGCAGTGGAGACGTAAGAAGGGATTGATTTGTGGATATTATGAAGGTAGAACCTCCAGTTAATACTTTCTTTAAAAATACTATTTATTTCACAGTTATCCATATACATTAGGTAACAGAATTTACCATGGCTAAACTCATAACTGATCACATACAGAATTAGTAAAATATCATGATCTCAACCACAGGAATAATGGTATGTTAAAAAATATTATTTTCATAAGTTATAGAATTATTACCTAGTCTACATTAGAATTGTTTTAAGTATAAGTAGCTATTTATTTTTTTATTTATCTGAAGGTCAGGGAGAGGAAGAGCTAGAAGTCACATTTTGTACCACGGCACAACCTGGGATAAAAAACTAACTTTCTCAATTTCTGTCCACATTTCCTTTTTCCTAAGTAGGTTTCTATGTGTAAAACTATTCCTGCAATGGCCTGTGTTGTTGGAGGACACAGTTCTTTCTTTTGCTCACATACCTTATCGATTTGATGATGCAGGCTTTGCAGAACCTATGGCCACATGGTGTTTGCACCGCTTCCCGTAATGCCATCAAGCAGATGGGGCATTCATACTTGCTTTCCAAGGGTGGGTCAAATTCTACATCATATCCCTGGATTTCTTCCATAAAGGAACTGGACAGGTTCCCTGTGCTGCTGGTTCCACTCACACTGTCATCTTTTGCTGTTGCACTGCAAGAGCTGGCCATGGCAGCACAGCAGTCACTTTCAGCCTGGCTGGACCCACAGCTGTTTTCACAGTTTAACAGACTCATAGTAACTTGACTGTCAATTACTCTGTAAAAATATCAAGAAAAAATAAATTAGCATATTTTTGTACACACACATACGACTTTCCAGATTATTTATGCAAGTCACCTATTAGTTCATATACACTAGCTGTGTTAATGTCATTTGCAAAATAACTTTTATAGTGTTTGGGCTTTGTTTCATGATTACTATTTTAAAATAATAAATTTTCTGATTCCCTCCAAAAAACAAATATCAGCACCTATGCAAAGCATTCAGAACACTTGATCTAAGAGAATGACAATACAAGATAAAAAAGGAAAAGCACTTCAATTGTAATACTGATCTATATCACAATATCTGCTTGTATGTCCATTTCCTATGACTAAGGTCAGGAATTTTAATTTTTGTTTTCATACTGTTGGTACCTAGCACAAGATTTTTCACAAAAGGTATTCATTGGGCATCTGCTGAAGAACTCAATCATATTGCCTAAGTTCCTTCAAGTATTCTTTGAAGTGAGCAGTATGGCTAGCAATGTAGTGCTAGGCAGAACAGTGTACAGAAATCAAGTGATCGTGTACCACTACTGGGCGTGTGATTCTGGGTATGTACTTAACCATTTGGATCTTCGTTTCTTCTTCTTGATTTAAAATTCTATAAGAATTTCCAAATGTTCACTGTGGGGATTTCTACTATGTAGAAAGAACAGAATTTGAAAAAAGCATATCTTTATGTCCTACTGCCTTCAGTCAGGTCAAGTGACTATGTTTCATTATTAATGACTGGAAAAACAAGTGAGGTTTCTTTGCCTATGGAAAACCATTCCTCTAATGAGTAGATGGGATGCCTTCAAATTCTAAACTGTTACGGTATTTACATGAGAAGCTAATATCTAAAAGCAATTCACAGTTCATGTAGCTATGTCTCTATTTTAGATAATTATTCCTAAGGAAAATTCCAAATACATCCTGGGTAAGTTCTACAAGCAGAATGTAAACACAGTAGGCAATTATGCATCTGCTTTTCTCATTTTTATACAAAAAATCCTGTCTGCCACTTTGCCAAATAGAGGATTAAGACAGCAGTTCTCAATCTTTTTACAAGTACAAATACCTTCTTATTTGTCTCAAAGATTTTGAGGTCCATTTGATGAACACCAGCAAAGGATGAGTGCTATTCTGGCTGGAAAGGCAGTACTGTGAAGTGGTGAAACCAGGCACTGGAATTGGATTTAATCTCTTCTTTCATCACTTGGTGATGACTCGGGCAAGTTATATAACCTTTCTATGCTTTAATTTCCTAATCTGCAAAATGGGGTTAACAACAGGATCCACCTGCCAGCTACTGCAAGAATTAAATGTTAATATGTGCAAAGCACTTAGAACCATACCTGGTAGTCAGAATGAGTTATTATTTCATGTAGCTTTCATACAGCATTTTATTCATTAATTTTATTGGTCCCACTTATCAAAGCGGAAGTTATGGAGCTTAAAAAGACTAAGGAACTTGTCCAAGATTAATAAATAACAAGCTTATACACTTTGTAACATGTTACGTTTATCTGCATTTTGACAATTTTTTGTTTTTATGAAGAAGCATTTAAGACTTATTTCCCTTTATTTTTATTCTACTAGACTAGGGAGCTGACCACACAGGTGTTAGTACATTAGTTAACAGGATTCCAAAGACACAGCAAAGACATGGCATTTTATTTTACTTGTTTTGATATATTTTTGAAAAGTTAAAAATAGCTCTCAAAGCCTTGTTATTTCTAATGTAGACTTCCAGGGAAAGCTCATTCAGATTAAAAGAAAGAAAGGAATATGAGACAGTGGTAAGCAGCAGAACTAGTCATGTATATATAGATACCTGTGCCTTTAGGTGGGGTATAAAGTCCCCTTTACACCCTTCAGATTTGAGGACAAAGACAGTTTTGCCACAGTAGGGTTTATACTCTTCATTACTTTCCTTCCTTTAAGACTGTGCTCAATTATTTCCTTAGGTATATTTTATAGAATTTCTGGGTTGAAAGGTATTATACATACATATATATGTGTATATATATATATATATATATACATATATATATATCTCAAAGATTTTCTAATTTTTACTCTGAAACAGATTATATGAGTCGATTTTCTTTACCTTTGACAACACTAGGTATAACTAACTTTTAAGTCTTTATTTTTTAAGTAAAATTATTTTTGAGAAATTAATGTTTGTAATGTAGTTGTTCTGCACACATCAAAGTGCTGCCCAGAAGATAATGGCAAATGTGACTGAACTTAGTCTACCTTTTTCTGCTCAAATGTCCAGTTAAAAAATCAGTTTACTGATACTCTTGTCCAGTTAAAAACCTCTAAAGTCTTAAAGAGACCTTTCATAGCTATGTGTATCCGTCTAATCAGTTACATTTCCTTAAAAGGAATTCCATTGTGTGAATACAGTGCAAGACATTAAAGTGAGCACCTTAAAAATCCGTATGACATCAAGTTGCTTTCACATTTCTTCCCATGCTTTAAGAAGTAACACAAAAGCTTTATATCTTCCAAATAAACTTTTTAGACAGTCACCATCTAAATATAGAGTCCCATATAACTAGACTGCAAAGGGAAAGTTAAGCTTCAAGCAATATTTTGAATGCCATTTAGCATTTTTCTATTTACTTTTTCTTAGGCAAGTTAAAACATTTTCCCCTTTACTTACATAATGAAAATCACTTTTCTAACTTAAGTATCATGAATGGTTATTTTAATTAACACAAAAAAGAGCAAAAGGTGCTTTGAGTCAGTTCTAGACATAAATGGAAGATAACATGGCATGCATATAGAAAATAGCATGCTTTATCAGGGTTCTTTTTATCCTCCTCTTGTACCAAGGGAGCTACTTCATGAGTTGCTGCAAAAGCAGGCTTGAGCTAAGCTAAACCAAGAACTAATATTTTTAGGTTAAATAAGTATTTCTTCCAGCTTCTTCTCCACTTAATTATGTGGCTATCTATATGAATTAATAAAGGGGAGGGAACAAAGTTTCAATCGTCCTTTAACTTGTATGCTCAGCTTTATGATTGCAATTCCCTTTTGCAGTTGGGAATCTAAGTTTAAATGCTCCTTTAATTAAATACTGTGACTATTGCCAACTTATTTTGACTGCAAAAATGAATAAAAATTGAAATTAGCCTTTTCGTAAATCATGGCATGTATCTACCAGTTAGTATCTGGGTATATATTATAATCCAAAGCCAATACTGTTAAATGTCTAGGGATGAGGGATAGGGTGACCCATAAAATATAGTTCCTCCTGAGATCAATGGATGCTAAGTATAGAACTGTGGGAAGCTAAAGAAATCAAGTTATGCCTAGAGTGAGTCACTTTTAAGTCAACTGAAATTCAAATACGGGTAAACTTATAAAGTAAAATTATGTAGAAGAAAATATTGACCAACCTTCAATTGACTACTAACAAGATCTATTTACCAACTCTTTAAAATCCATTCCTGAAATGCAAATGTGCTACAATGGCCAAGAGATGCAGCAAAAACGCTCAATTGCTGTAATTTAATTTTGAATCCAAATTCAAGATGCATCTCCGGATGCATCTCCCTTCTTAGGTACTATTTGCTCTCCTCCAGGAGGCAAGGATTTGAACATGTTCTTTCACAATCCAAGGTTGCCAAAAATCTATCAGCACTAGGTATCAGAATGTATCACCAAAAAGTCATCAGGTTATAATTCTTAAATATAGTGAAGTTCGAGGCGCATCAAGGTTTAAACTTGGATTTGGTCCTTGTCCCCATGACATGGACAACTAATGCCTGAAACACATTCTTTCCTTGAGTCACAGAAGAGGCCATGCTGTCCTTACTCCACCCCCCAATCTCAGAATAGGAAAGCCCCTATATCTTCCCTGGTATCAAAGGAGAAGGAATGAAATGCCAGCGGCCAAGTTCATAAACCAACACTTTAACAGGTTGTTCTCGTTTCTAGACCTGTTTATCTAGACAGCAATCTGCTGGCCGAGAAATAACCAAATCCTATACATTCAAGCTGCTAATACTTTAGGTGTTTTCTGTTCACATTCAAGCCAGTCCTCACTCTCAGTTGGAGTTCCCCTAAAGCCAAATACTAGGAACAGCTTTATCAGCCAGGCGTCTGAACAATCACTACAACTAGCATGCAGGGGCGGGGAGGACCCATTCGTGTTATCCCACTTTTTAAAAAAACTTGCTACCTGGGAACCTCTATCGAGTTGAACAGGGAACCCCAAAATAGCTTTCCCATGATAGTGACAGAGGAAGTCGCTGGGAATTTAAAGGATTTTTTTTTTTTTTTTTAATTTAAGCTGGTAACAGCTCCCGAGGGAGTGGAAGACCCAGGAGGCAATTTCCTTTTCTAGGAAGCAGAAAACGCGAGGTGAGGGGGAAGCAGGACTGAGGAAGTTGGCGTGGGGCGCCCTGCCGGGAGGGGAGATGACAAGGGCACAGGGAGCGGCTCCTGGACCCGTGGGAAGAGGGGGACAAGGGGCGGCGTCCTCGATCAGCGGGAAACTGGAGGACAAGGGGCTGCGACCCCGACTTGTGGGAAGCGTCTTGGATCCGTGGGAAGCGGGGGACCAGGGTCAGCGTCCCGATCTGTGGGAAACTGGGGGGAGGAGAGTCAAGGGACGGCATCCTGGACCCGTGAGAAGCTGGGGCAAGGGGGCGGTGTCCCTTACCTGTGGGAAGCTGGGGGACCGGGGCCGGCGTCCGGGACCGGGGAAGCGAGGCCGCCGCCCTCCACAGCAGACCACCGCTTGTGCGCGCCGGGCCGCCGAACAAGGCAGGCAAGGCTCCACCGGACCGCTCAGCCAAGTCGCCGAGAGGACGCACACAGCGCTCCGAGGAGAGGTGGCAGGGATGCCAACTTCCCGACCCCAGAGGCCCCCGCCTCTGCGTCCGCGGACGCCCGGGAGCCCCAGCCCCAGCCGCGGACGCCACTGCTTCCGCCTTTCAGCTCCGGGAGGACAGCGAGGGGCGGGGGGCGCCCCGGGAGCCAGAGCGGCCAGTGTGGATAGAGCGCCCCCTGGCGCCGGTCCTCCACTGCTCAAGCTGTTGCGCAGGCGCAGGGCAACTCCGCTCACTCAGGCTGGGCTTCCCTCCAACTCCGAGTCCCATCTGGGAATTCCTGATGCCACAATCCGGAACTGGAGTGTGCGTGTTTCAAGATGTGTACATGTGGCTTTGCCGTGTGTGTGTGTGTGTGTGTGTGTGTGTGTGTGTGTGTGTGTGTGTGAAGGTGGGCGTGGGGCGCGAATAAATTGCAGTAAGAAAGTTCGCAATGCTTTGGGGAATAGCAGCCACAGCAGTAACCCCAAACTGTACTTTCATAGCCTTCCTATCCAAGCAGGAGACTTTGACCTTCGGTAATTGTTTAATCCCTCCCCAATCCACCCTCCTTGCAGAACCATCTGTGAATCATGTGGTCCTTCCCCTTCATCCAGTCCAAGGAAGTCAGCCCATGAATGAAACATTTCTTTGAAATTGCTGTCAAGGACGCTAGCCGGATTATTCTCATTGTCATGGGAAAGCTATTTTGATTTCCCTGTTTAACAGGACACAAACATCTGCAGGATGTAATAAGCACATTGCAAGAGGTGCACAAAGATTTTCTTCCACCTATGCAAATTGAGCTCATCCTCCACCTGTTAGGGGAGGTATTACAGGTTAGTGGTTAGGTACACATTTTGAAACTACAATGCTTACTTCAAATACGCTTTTTCCTCCTTATAAAGTGTTTGAATTTAGATTAAGTCACTTAATCTGCACTTGCTTCAGTTTTCTCATTTCATGTTAGGCAGACACTCTAGTCTTTGAGCTATGTCTCCAGCTCCCTCATCTCATATTAACATATGGCTATTAATACAGCTGCTGGGAGGGATAAGTCAATATATGTAAACAAGTGGTTTAATATTCAGGAAATAATACATACCAAATAAATATTAACAATATTTATTCTTCTTGTTGCCAATACTTATTAAAATGGTTATCTTTTAAAGATAAGAATCTGTCACTACTTCTCAGACTCAACTGGATTCCCATTTAAAAAAACATGCTTTGAAATATTTAAGACATAAAAAGCACAAAAACTTTGCACAAACCTGTATATGCTCATCACCCAGCGTAAAAAATAAAATACTATCAGCAGAATTGCCAGACCCTGTGTATCCATCCCCAGTAAACTCTCTCAATTCAGAAAAATTCGTAAGGGATGGAGAAGAGATCATTATATAAAATTGAGAAGTGAAGAACAGAAGAGCAAGGGAATTATATTTCTCTTGGTGTCTGGGGCAAATTATGTAACCTACTAGCTTTAGTTTCCTAAACCATAAAAAAGGGATGATGTCTACCTTGCAGGGCTGTGGTCAGGATCAACTAAAAAAAAATGTGAGAGAACTCAGCACTAGGCTTTTCAAAAAAAAAATCAGATGTTCTGTGTGTATTTCTTTACATTGTTTTTATAAGTGTCCTTGAGGGCCCTCTTTCTACTTCTACAAATCTTATTTGTTTTCACTACCTTATATGTAGTAGAGAGTCTTAGGACTCACCCATGCGCTGAGCACACAGGAAACTTACAAATCTCTGACTACTTGCTGTCAGGCAGGACCATGTTCTGTTCATGAGCTGTGATGGGAAGGAATGCTTATTTTTAGGTCAAAGCATTTGATTTGCATTGCAAGACTTTGTTCCCTGTGTTCACCCACTGTACTAGTTACCTGTGTGTATCTGTGTCCAAAATACCTGACAGAAACAGCTTTAAAAAAAGGAAGAATTTGTTTTAGCTCATGGTTTTTGAGCATACAATCCATTAAGGCAGGGAGACAAAGACAGAACAGAGAAGTTCACACCAAGGCAGGTAGAAGCAGAACACAGCAGCAACAGGAGGGGGCCAGAACAAGATATATCCCCCATGAATATACCTTCTAGTGACTTACTTCCTCTGACCAGGCTCCACCTTGCACAGTTCCGCCACCTCCCAATAGTTTATTCAAATTCTGAATCTATCAATGGATTAAACCATTCATTAAGTCAGAGCCCTCATGATTTTATGGTATCTGGAAAAACCCTCAAAGATACACCCAAAGGTGTACTTTACTAATTTCCTCAGTGCTTCTCTAATCAAGTTGACCATTAAGATTAACCATCACAACTATGGGGACCAGGAGGTCGCTATAGGAAGGGAAGGGTAAATCACTGTACTGTTGTATGGAGAGAACTTACCTGGCAGAGTCAAACCACCTGCTATAGACTTATGAGTAGTAAACAAATTCTTGTTGCTTTAAGCTATTGAGATATTGGGTTTTTTTTTTCAGTATCATAACCTCGCCTATCTTATGCACACCTCCTTCTTCAAGTCTTCTTTGATATTAGGAATCAGAACACCAAAGTTGTACTTCTATCTCTGCTTCTCATTAAAATTGGGACCTGGTCAGGTGTCCTCATATGTGAAGTTGGAATAAAATCTACTTTGTTTTCTTTTCAGAGCTGAAATGAGTTCAAATGAGACCATATGCAAAGACTGTATGCAAATTAGGAAGTCCTATACAGATCAAAAGAATAGAATATTCTGATTAGCAGACTTATCTTTGCTAGTCAGAGGCAATCACAATTACCAAGTTTTCCGAAAAGCTGCTGATTTAAAATATTTAGTTCATTTCTCCTTATAAATAAATCAAATATGTACAACATATAGTACTTATTCCTGGATTGCTGTTTTTAACATTCTATTTGAAAAATTAAATAGGACACACTTTATAGGCTGGTGGGGATAGGGTTGAATGGGTAAGAGATTCTTTTCCAAACATTTGAAAATAAGATGACCCACTAAGTTAAATTATAAAATTAAGATACAATTCATTAGTTCAAAATATATTTATTGCCTTATGATTACGTGTGTGTGCGTCAGCTAGCCTTGAAGATATTAATGTACATGTGTAATCCCCTTCCATAATGAATAGGGCTGACTCATAGCAATATAATACAGTGGAAATTACAGAAGGTCTTCCTGGGTTAGATTGCAGAAGACATTGTCTTTTTCTCTCTTAATTATTCACTCTAAGGGAAACTCTTGAGGACACCAAAGCAGCCCTTTGGAAAAGGCTCCTGTGATGAGAAACTGAGCCCTCCTGACAACAGTCAGAGGATTGCTACAGCCCCATGAGGGGCCATTTTGGAAGTGGATCTTCCAGTCTTAGTCCAGCCTTCAGTTGACTGTACCACTAGCTGTCACCTCAGCTGTTACCTCATAAGAGACCCTAAGATGGAGCCATCTAGCTAAGTTGCTTCTGGATTCCTTACTTACAGAAGCTATGAGATAAAATATGTGTTGTCTTAAGCTTCTAAATGTTGGGTTTATTTGTTTATTGTTCAGTAACAGATAATGAATAGAACATGTTACCACTGATTTCAGCCCAGTAGATACAGTGGTGGATAAACAAACCAGCTCCTCATGAGGCTTACATTTCATTAAGGAGGGAGAAACAGACCATAAATATTAAACAATAGACAATGAACCCACACACCGGTGGCTCATCTTATAATCCTAGTGTTGCGGGAGTTTGCTAGCTGAGATACAGGACTCTTGAGGCAATTAGCAGGAAGCAACACAGACCTAGTGGACTCCTGTCCAAAGGCTGAGCCCCGAGAACAAAGGAGTCTCACCTTATATATCCTTGCAAGCAGGTTACAGAAGCAAAAAGCAAGGTTTAATCCATATATGGTTATATTTAATTTTATTGTCTACTTTATCCTAGTGCTATGTGACTTTCCCCTCCCTGGTGCTACATGACCTTCCTCATATTCAGATTTCTCAGGTTCTGTCTCTCTGCTGTGCCATCCCTACCTCCCTGATGTGCCATCCCATCCTCCTTGTTACTTTCTCAGGACTCAGGCCTAGACTGTTTTCTTCTGGTCCTCCTCCCTGCTAAGTTATTCCCCCCTTTGATGCTTGGACCCACTTAGGGTCAAAGAGCATCATCTTTTTAAAAAATTTTTATTGTTATATTATTCATATTTGCATACAATGCTTGGGTCATTTCTCCCCCCTTCCCCCACCCGTCCCTTACCACCCACTCCGCCCCCTCCCTCTCCCCATCACCCCCTTGAAACCCTGCAGAAACAATTTTGCCCTTATCTCTAATTTTGTTGTAGAGAGAGTATAAGCAATAATAGGAAGGAACAAGGGTTTTTGCTAGTTGAGATAAGGATAGCTATACAGGGAGTTGACTTGCATTGATTTCCTGTGCGTGTGTGTTACCTTCTAGGTTAATTCTTTTTGATCTAACCTTTTCTCTACTTCCCCTTCTCCTATTGGCCTCAGTTGCTTTTAAGGTATCTGCTTTAGTTTCTCTGCATTGAGGGCATCAAATGCTAGCTAATTTTTTAGATGTCTTACCTATCCTCACACCTCCCTTGTGTGCTCTTGCTTTTATCATGTGCTCAAAGTCCAATCCCATTGTTGTGTTTGCCCTTGATCTAATGTCCGCATATGAGGGAGAACATAATATTTTTGGTCTTTTGGGCCAGGCTAACCTCACTCAGAATGATGTTATCCAATTCCATCCATTTACCAGCGAATGATAACATTTTGTTCTTCTTCATGGCTTCATAAAATTCCATCGTGTATAGATACCACATTTTCTTAACCCATTCGTCAGTGCTGGGGCATCTTGGCTGTTTCCATAACTTGGCTATTGTGAATAGTGCCGCAATAAACATGGGTGTGCAGGTGCCTCTGGAGTAACCTGTGTCACAGTCTTTTGGGTATATCCCCAAGAGTGGTATTGCTGGATCAAATGGTAGATTAATGTTTAGCTTTTTAAGCAGCCTCCAAATTTTTTTCCAGAGTGGTTGTACTAGTTTACATTCAACACCAACAGTGTAAGAGGGTTCCTTTTTACCCACATCCTCGCTAACACCTGTTG